CACCCCGTTGTTTGGGTGTCTCTGTCCCCAGGGAGGTTCCACCTCCTCCCCGTGGGGCTGGAACGGCTCCGGCCGCCCTCGGGGCTGGGGTCGTGTCCCTGGGGCTCAGTTCTGCAGCGGGAATGTTTTCCATGTGGAAATGGTGGGGAGGAGCAGAGCTCAGGCTGCTGGGAGAGTCCCCTTGGAGCTGGTTGGGTCAACGCCCGGAAACTGGGAACGGGGGGAATGTTTGTATGTTAAATATTAATATAAATGTAAAATACAAATAGAAAAATAAATGTAAAAAATATTATTATAAAATATACAAATATAAATATCAGTGTAAAACTATAAGTAACATATAAATATAAAAATTGTAAAAGTGTGGTTTTAAAATAGAAAAATAGAAAAATAAATGTAAAAATGTAAGTACAAAATAGAAAAATAAAAATGTAATTTTAAAATATAAAAATAGGAAAATAAATGTAAAAATAGAACTATAAAATATAAAAATATTAAAATAAATGTAAAAATATAACTATAAAATATAAAAAATGTCGAAATATAATTATAAAATATAAAAATATAAATACAAATATAAAAAATATTGTAAAATATATATTGTAAAAATATAAATATAACATACAAACATAAATATAAAAATTAATGTAAAAATACAAGAAAAATATAAAAAATAAATGCAGAAATATAATTATAAAATATAAAAATATGAAAATAAATTAAAAAATACAACTATGACATACAAGTATAAATATGAAGATAAATGTAAAAATATAACTATAAAATATAAATAAATGTAAAAATATAATTAAAAAATATAAAAATAAACGTAAAAATACAACTATGACATACAAGTATAAATATGAAGATAAATGTAAAAATATAATATAAATATAAATATAAATATAAAAAATATAAATAAATGTAAAAATATAATTAAAAATATAAAAATAAATGTAGAAATATAACTATAGCATACAAATATAAAGATAAATGGTAAAATATAATTTAAAATATAAAAATAAATGTAAAAATATAGCTAGAAAATATAAAACCACAACTGTGAATGTAAAAATAACTGTAAAATAAAAATAAAAAGTAAAAGTATAAAATAAAAAGTAAAAACAAAACATAAATATATAAAATAAAAATAAAATAAAAATGTAAAAAAAAAAATAAAAAATATAAAATCTAATAATAAATATAACTACACATTGGGTGGCAGGGAGTGGAAAAACGAGGCCCCTGCTTTCAGCAGCTGCAGGTGCAGGGGGTTTTCAGCCCGGGGATGAAAAGAACTCTCCTTTTAATTGCTCTGCTCCCCCCCTTGGTCCCGAGGGAAGCAAAGCCTTTCCTTGCCTGGGCAGAGACGTTCCTGTAAACTTGGGAACGGGGAATGTCACCCCCT